TTTCTTAAGACAGAAAGAAACTGTGTAACAATTACTGAACAGTGGGAGTAGGAATTATTATTATTAGATGGGAAAAAAGATGGTTGAGTATCATCCTGATAAGTGTGAAGAAAGTGAGAGAGGGAAAAATCTTCCGAGGTGTTCAACTTAAATGACAACCTGTCTGAGTTACTCTGGTCCATCGCCGATTATATCAATGGTACAAATTCTTCTTAAAGATAATAAATAGATCAGGTTTATCTTTCTTCTCAAAGGAATGTAGCTATGCATATTCGTAAATCGAATAACTCAGTGATAATGTCTCTGACTGCAGCACTGGGTGACACGGGTTCGAGTCTCAAAAGGGAAATGAGTTCCTTGCAGATTGCAGATACGCCTTGCTGACTGACGAGTGCCAACTAGCGCTAAACCTAGGTTTAGAGCTTCCTTCCGAATGCCTCCAACCATCTAATAACAACAATCCTGATGTCAGTTTAGGGAATGAATTCGATACAATTTATTATTATCATGTAGTTGGATAATAAATTTATCTTAAGCGCCTTTTCTTCCTCTAGATACTGGACATGTATTACTTATCAGTTGTTTATTTAAGCGATTCTTTTTTTGTGTAAATAATTCGTCAACTTCGGAAGTTATATTCTACTTGGAGATTCATATAATAATAATGGCGATAATATTCAAAAAGATATTCTTCGTTAAGTAATTTTTCGGATCGTTTTTTCTATATTTCTCTCGGGCTTTGAAGTTTATGTAACGATTGGATTGATTTTCTGGGGGGGGGGGGTAGGCTTGCTAGTTCTACACCCAACATTGCCTGTTTCCTCCGGCTTAGGTCGTCCGGTTAGAAAACTGGCAAACTTATAAACCATGCGAGTTTTTGTCAGATCTCGACGAGCAATGTTAGCCGCTGACATAGGGTCAGGCTGGATTAGAGCTAGCGGTGGTCAAACCAAAACATGGCTGCACCAGTCAATCAAATCCACAACAGTTAGTTTAAGTCATGTAGGAAGGTGTAGACTTCCCGGTTGGGGTCCTCAGGACGGTAAAAACCAATGAAGGCTGGAGACAATCGGTGATATGGCTCAAAATCGTTCTCAATGGCTGGCGCAGATGCCAATGAAAGTATATTGTTCTTCGTTATTACTATTCCTTTGTCTCACACCTCTGCTTGCTGTCTCTACTATGCATTTCTTCTACTTTCTTCTCTTGCTTTGTGTGCTACATGGAGGGAGTGTGGCGAGTTGAACTGGTGCATATCAGTGCAAAGTTCTATATCGAAAACAGACAGATCATGATAAGAATTAATTAGAATTCTATTTATTCTTCAAAAAGCATTCAGATAAAGAAAAATGTTTTCTAGACATCTTCATGCGGTGCCAAAAGGAAAATAAATAGTTGTTTTCATCAATTCTTGCACTACAGTATTTATGCATGTGTGTGTGTGTGTGTGTGGAGTATTCCTATGTGATGAGTTCCACTTAAATGCATGAATTCATTAAATCCTGTTATGATATTCTCTACTGAATGATACTATATTTTAGCTAGGTGAATAAAACACCTTAAAGTCTCCATTTGTTTACAAGTTAAGTAACCTTATTGTAGTATAGAGATGAAGCCGCTGATGATTTGCACTAATAGACATATTAATGGGGGCTTAGGAAATCGAACAATGTAAATAAACCCTATGTCATTCTTATTGGGATTTAATCTTATCAATGCAAGGAAATGAAACATATTATCTCGACGTCCTGTACAGGGAAAATTTATACGGTGTAGGTCACCAGTCTGTGATAATCGTGGTAGGTAGTTCGGTGGTAGAATGCTTGCCAACCAAGCACGTTATCTCGCGTTCGATACCCCGCCGATGCACTCCTTAATCTCGCCTAGTTGGTAATAAGTCCGGCAAAGAAGGAAGGCTAGACGTGAAGCTAGCAACCTCGCTCTCGTGAAAGACAAAAATCACCGCTGCTGAAACTCCAAAGATCTAGCCTGAACGTGAAGGAATAAAATTAGAAAATAAAATTAATAAATACCTGTGGTAATTAATGAAAAATAAAAACTCATAGTTCAGCAAAGAGGCACTTTTCGGTGAATTCATTTTTCATAAGTGGACAAAACGTAGGCTTTTGTAGTGATTGGATTTAGTCCTGTAGATAACTTTAAAAGATAAATCACGTGTGGGAGCTGAATGACCTGACTCTAGAAGGTGTTCATAGATTGAAGACTTCGTCATCCTTTTCTCACCTTTCATTAACCAAACCTAGAAGGGGTCAGCTACACGTTTACGGAGATTACGCTAATAACGTCCAATGTGATCGGCTCTACACGAGCATGTGAATGAATATATGCACACATGCACATTAAACGGTGTTTTATGCAACTGACTTACATTTAGTATTTACCAGCCAAAATATGCTTCGACAATACGTCGAGGATAAATTACCGATTATATCCACCTCTATGTGCATATACTCATTCATATGTTCGTGTGGAGCCAATTACATTGGACGTTATAAGCGTAATCTCTGTAAACGTGTAGCTGAACACTTCCCGGTTGGGTTAATAAAAGGTGAGAAAAGGATGACGAAGTCTTCAATCTGTGAACACATTCTAGAGTCAAGTCATTCAGCCCCCTACACGTGATTTATCCTTTAAAGTTATCTACAGGACCAAATCCAATCACTCCAAAAGCCTACGTTTTGTCCAATAATGCATAGCCGGAGCGCTAGTTATACATAGACAGATACCTAAATCATGTATACAATCATAGCTGTTAATATTAGTCAATTCATAATTGGAGTTGCATGAGAGTATTGGAGTTACTGAATTAGATGAATAATTTAATAAATGAGGTGTGATCAGGATGCACACGGAAACGAAGGCAAATATGGAATTATGCAAGAATTCTAAGGAAAAACAAGAGTTATAACTGTTACATAAATAAACAAATAAAAATCGAGTTAGTAGAAATCAACAAGGTTGTTTCAAAGTGATGATTAACCTTCCAAAGTCAATACGCTTTCGTCTCCTTTGTATTGCTGAAGCTTTAGCCATCATGATAGAGAAAGCAGAGCTATGCATACTATCGTAGTAACAACTTTGTTGATTTCACCTGACTTGGTTTTCATTTGCTTGTTTCCTCTAACCCTTTATAACTCTTGTATTCATTTAGAATTCTTACATAATTCCGTATTCGCCTTCGTTTCCGTGCGCATCCTGATCACACCTCATTTATTAAATTATTCATCTAATTGAGTAACTCCAATACTCTTATACAACTACTTATGAATTGACTAATATTAACAACAGCTATGATTGTGACAACTCATCACTTTTTTTACTGCCCTCTTTCATGAAAATTGTATATAAATGTGATTGTACAGCTGAAGTTAATAATGAATTCACTGGAAAAAGCCTCTTCATTGAACTACATGTTTTGTTTTCAATAATGTCTTCATGGGGATTATTCATGGATGTAAATTTGCATAAAACCGTGCAGCGTTTTCACCCTCATTGTTATTCAAACACTACTGGTATAGAAACTAAATTGACTCAATTATTTAACTTCTCCATTTGAAGTATTTTAAAGAATAATGACTGACTGAATTTCAACGTAGAACTCTGCAGAGAATTGCAGCAGTGCACGTTATCACACTTTATATGGAACATAAAAGTGTAGAGAAAAAGTTCAAGAGAACAACAATGAGGAGAAACTTAGGGATGAAGGAATAAATTTTGTCGAAAATAATGGACTTTAACATATCTGGAAGATTACAGAAAGAGTGAATGCATCTGTGGGTGCATCATTGAGAGTTTATCCATTCACTGAAATTGATAGGAAATTTCTCTGTGCTTTGCCAACCTTCATCTGAATGATGAAGTGAATCCTACAATTTGGCGACGAATCTATCTATTTGAACTCATTAACCCAACAGTAGAGTCAACATACTAAACACACTCATGGTAAATCATAAGAGACTAATAATTATAATCTCTGGGAGTGATCCAATCAGGAACCGATTGTGCAACAAATAAGCAGGAAGAAATGAAGGTGGATTGGCCATACTCTGAGGAAACCATCAAGTGACATCACTAGACAAGTCATCGCTCGAGTGGAGCCCGATTGAAAGGGAAGCGGCGAGTTGGTCATCAGTGCGAGGGTGACTTGGAGGAGGTCATGTGAAGAGGAGATGAAAGCATGTGGGCAAATGTGGAGCCAGGTGAAAACATTGTCAGAGAACCGAACGCAATGGAGACGTTCGTCTGAAGCCCTATGTTCCTCTAGGAATTAAAGGAAATAATAATTATTATTATGATCACACTAACAGTGATATGGAAATCATAAACTTGAGAAATATCACCGATATTGAAAACTACTTATCACAGAAAAACACTAATTACATCGAATAGTCGTAATACAATTAGATATTATCCCAATGATTTAAATTTAAATATTTTTGTAACTTTTTGTAAGATATATCACTGATATAATGATCGGTCAATGTACCTATAACATTACTAGAGTACTCATCTGAATTACTATGGTAACATGACCCTGAGTACAGAATCAAGAGACACGTGTTCAAACCTCTGAGGAGATATTAGTTTCGTTTAAGTTGCTGATACGTCTCCAGTCAACTTCCTGTCGACTACCACTAACCTTTCTATTTTAGCTTACTCTACTGACGACTGAATAAACATAACCACATGGTCGCCTAATTCTCTTGCTTTTTTTAAGCTGTCAGCTTGTACAAAATGAAATCCCGAGATTTATCATCAAAGTGACATATTTTAAATTCACAGAGTTAAAAAATGAAATGTTAAGACATCTAAAATTTGAATTTCTAAAATCCCTAATCACAATGAGTTCAAATGTTGACAAAACATCCATGAATTTCTCCCAAAGTTTCTTCTGAAAAAATTTCTCTCAAATTCATTCGATTAGTAATTATGATTCTCAATATTACTGCATCTAAAATTCATTTTCTTCTGTTTTACAGCCTGGTGGTAAAGAAAGATGTTTGGATTATTGGTCGAAATATACTCTAACTATGAGAGAATGTTGGATACATTGCATAAATATTTGGTGCGTATTTTTTTGTTCATTATCCATATTCCCTGCGATTCAATCCCGAGTGAGACCAATCAATCCAGACTATTTTATTTCACGTAAGTTGTCAGTTTTTATAATGGATCTCATATCTATGGAATGCATTCATAAGCTTCTATTCCCACTGTCCTTCCTTCCACTACTTCAGAATTTTGTACTGTTTCACTTTGGCTACTTTTTTGTTTGATAGTAGTATATTGCTTTTGCTAAAACATTTGACACAGACTTCTTAAGAAGCTTTATACACGTATTCCCGTTAATGAATTTGAATAAAGCAATAACAGTACATGTTACAGGACTTCTTAGTTTGGATTCCAAGGAAACACTTTGATTCACAGTAGTTATTGGCAGAATTTGAGCAGAATCCTTCAGTTGTTGTGTGCATGTTTCCTTGCATATGCGAATTCTAACGTGCTACTCATTCTTATATGTGATAAGACATTTCTTTCTCTGTATTCTGAAAATCTATACTTTTATGTGCCTAATCTTTTGGGATGTGCATTTATCTGCAAATTCAGACAGCATAATTATGTTGTTCACATCCCTCTAGTCGGCCAATTCGGTGTCCACCTAATAGTCACGTGTTTTGAATTGCGTCTTCATCTACCCTTTAGGTCTAATTCATATAATTGGTACACAAATATTTACTGAGGAAGTATTGAGTGTAATTTATTACTCATAATGACATTACCTCGGTGTGACTATGAACACTTACCTATTTGGTTTGTAGCATATGAAACGTGATGGCCCTGGGTTTGATCCTGGTAGGACCACTATGAGTGCGTACCGATGAAGAGTCCTGGACAAGAACAAAAGTTCTGCCTAGAACTCCTTGGTTTCCAATGTATCTCTCTAAGTGAAATCAGTTCGTGATCAATAGCTAATTTAATAATCAACTTGGATTAGGCTCTGAAATATAGAGTGGCGAAATATTCACGTGGATAGGGGTCGGAGACTGTCATTTAGGACAGTGTAAGTAAGATGATTGAATGTTAGAAAGTGAAGTTGCCGATTTTTTTCTTCTTTACTCCACTTGGAAGTACTTTGAAGTATTCTGTGGAGTGGCGTTGAGTGGCTAAATATAACCACCGTATATGTTCATACAGGAAATCAATAGACATAATTTATTGAAGCTTTAAATGACTGAAACACTTACCGGCTGAAGCTAAAAGTGGAGAAATAATGCCTCTTGAAATTTTACCAATGGCTACCATTATGCATATAAATTGAATGTATTAATTAAATTAATCCCTTCCTACCATACTCATCTATATGAAAAATTTCCTAGAACAAGTGATCTTACCTATAATTATTGCTACCTTCTCAATGCACTCTGTAATTATTTCAGTTTTTTTTTCAACTGTCTATTCTCATAAGTATCTCACTAACTTGTTAATACATACACAAGTGTAATATTGGCTTATAGGAATTATATGGAAATGAATTTGTCGCGTTTATTTGAATTCACAATTAAGCTGAAGAGGCAAATGTTAATGGAAATGAATAAAGATATAAAAAATTTCTATATGATGTGAATTAAGAATACGTAAGTTAGCAAAGAGATCTCTTTTGGTAACTTATATTGTGAAGGTCGTGAGTTAGTGCCTCTCTCTCAGAGTACGGATTCTGTGTGTCATTGATTCAATGGTAGAAGGAATGCTCGTCAACCACGCACGTGCTTCGGGTTAAACTTCCAGCCGACACATTCCTTAATCCCGCATAGCTAGTGATAAGTCTGGTAAAGAGGGAAGGTTGGATAAGAGGTTGGCAACCTCACTCCTGTAAAAGACAAAAGCCATCGCTACTGAGTCTTCAGAGCTCAGGCTTGAAGTCTTATGTCCCACTGGGAATTCAAAGGGACTAAATAATGGTCAAAACTACATTTATTTAGTGGGAGTTTATATGTATATTGTTTATGGGTAACAAAGGTCAAAGGTCATTCTCAATTAGTAAGAAAATATACATCAAAATATATTAGAAATTACGATGTCTGTAGAAGATATAGTGAATAACTTTGATTGGACACTAGTAACTAGTGTGATGTGTCCAGTCCTTTGTTTGGTGCAGACTGAATTCTATCAGTCAGGTTTACAATGTGGCCACCATTTTAGGTAGCTTGCCATCACGGTGCATATCGATTTGATGATATTAGATGGTTGGAGGCAATCGACAGGAAGTCTTGGACCTAGGTTTCGTGCTAGTTGGCACTCGTCAGAAAGCACGAAACCTAGGTCCAAGACTACCTCCGATTGCCACCAACCACCTAATATATTGAATAACCTTAGGTAGTCGAGAGAGTTGATAATTAACTAGTTAAGTGATAAATGGTCATTTGCAAAATAGCTGATAGGATACAAAAGAATAAAGAATTGAAAATGACTTACAAGAAAATTTTTAGAGAAAAAAAGAGTCTGGATAGAATGTTTTACTTACAGTTTACTACAGCTTTGGTTACATGAAGATGCAAGCAAAATTATTTTTAAACACTCTGGCCTTACTTTTGTATATGCCTCTGAAAGTAGTCTCTTTTGATTCTGCATGACCCGATGTAATAATGTCGACAATGGAAATGCTTTGCTTTATTCCAAAACAGTACTTATGATACAACATGAAATTTTCAGCATTTAGTTCAATATTGCATCTGATTTTCTCAAGAACAACATAAAACAGTACAGGGTATAGGTAACCAAAATTGATAATCACAACTTATTGGCACTGACAGTAACAAAAGTCGAAAATGTACAAAATGTATAAAATGTAACGTCTGTTTGTCTGTCTGTTTTCGACATAGAACTTTGCACAAATGTGCACCAGTTCAAGTCGCCACACTCCGTGTAGCACGCGAAGCAAGAGAAGAAAGTACAAGAAAAGCATAATAGAAACAGTGAGCAGAGGTGTGAGACAAAGGAGTAATAACGAAGAACAAAACAGTTTCATTGGAGATCATAAGTCACGAGGAGTGGATGCATCTGCGCCACTGAGAACGATTTTGAGCCATGTCACCAATTGTTTCCAACCATAGATTTTTACCGTCCCGAGGACCCCAGCCTGGAAGTCTACACCTTCCTACGTGGCTTAAACTAACTGTTGTGGATTTCATTGACTGATGCCATGTTTTTGTTTGACCGCCGCTAGCTTTTTTCCAGCCTGACCCTATATCCGCTAACATTGCTCGTCGAGGGAGGCGATGGCTTGGCATACGTAACACATGTCCTAACCATCTCAGTCTTTGTAACTTCACGACTTCGTCGATTGATTTCCCCTGTTTACCTAGAACTCGACGCCTAACCTCCATGTTGCTCACCTTATTATGCCACTTTACACGGGAAATAGAGCGCAGGCACCTATGATCAAAGACAGCTAGTCTTTTCATGTCTTCCACTCTCAGTGGCCAGGTCTCACAGCCATAAAGGAGGACGGAGCGGACTGATGAGCAGTACACCCGCCCTTTGGTCGATAGTCGAACATCTCGTCTACGCCAGAGTCGGCGTAAACTGGCAAATGCGAAACGAGCCCCTGTATTCGTGCTGAGATTTCGTCAGAGATCAACCCGTTGGGGCTGATGGTACTTCCCAAATAAGTGAAGCGGTCAACGTGCTCTACCACTTCACTTCCTATTTTTAAACTAGGCGTCGATGTAGTCCAGTCCTGTAACATCATCTTGCATTTGGCGGGAGCGAATCGCATGCCAAACATTCGTAGATTGCGGCTCAAGGTGTTTAGAAGACTCTGCATTTCGTCAGCGTCTTCGCCTAGAAGGACTATATCGTCTGCATATTCCAAGTCAACGAGATTATTCCCGGTAGCAAGTCAATCCCTGAGTCGCTGAAGTCACCTAGGGTTAAGTCCATTAACACATCTATGATGAAGTTGAATAGAAAAGGAGATAATGGGCATCCTTGACGGACACCACTGGTCGTCATCAGTTCAGATGACAGCTCGCCGTAAGCCCTCACCTGGCTGTATGAGTACGAGTAGAGTGCCTTAATCAGTGCAATATATTTTCTCGGAATTCCCTTTACAGCCAAGCATCTCCAGAGAACTTCCCGATCGACAGAGTCGAATGCTGCCTTTAGGTCAAGAAATATAATGACTGTTGGACGCCGGTAGGAATGCCTATGTTCTAGAATCTGTCGGAGGGTGAAGATATGATCAATACACCCTCTTCCTGGTCTAAAGCCTGCCTGGCTCTCTCGTGTTTGTGCTTCCCGAGCACCACTCAGTCTACGCATGATTATTGAGCCTAAGACTTTAGATACTATATTAGTCAAGCTAATCCCTCTGTGATTATCACAGGAAGACTTGTCTCCCTTCTTGTATATGGGGATAATCAGTGACTTACACCAACCCGATGGGACTTCTTCTGATTCCCAGACGCTGCCTAGTACCTCAGTTAATCCGGACAGTAAGCTGTCTCCACCGTACTTAAATACCTCTGGAGTCATTCCATCAGGTCCCGCTGCTTTGCCTAGTTTCAGATTGGTGACAGCTTTAGTAACCTCAGTTAGTGACGGAGGACCTGTGTCTATATCCCATTCAGGGAGGTGTTGGATGCTCGGAAGGTTGAGCGTGGCTGTGGGCAAATTAAACTGCTCCTCATAATGCTCTTTCCAACGATCCAGTCGTCTATCCTGGGAGCTAATTATAGTGCCATTTTTTTCCGAGATTGTCTCACTAATGATTTGTCTTCTCCCACCCGTTTCCCTGATGAGTCCAAAGAGTTGCCTGGTGTTGCCTATCCTCGAAGCTTTCTCCATCTCTTTGGCTTTTGTCGCCCACCACTGTTCACGGTCCTTGCGGAGACTTTTCGTAAGTTTCCTCTTGTGCAGCTTTCGCTCCTCATTGAATTCGGAGCTCGCCGGAATAAGTCTTCTAGCATCTATCAGTTCGGATGAGGCGGTGGAGATCCAGTGGTTTTTACTCACCTTTGGGTTTACCTTATTCACAGCTTTTACAGCTGTATCTATGGCTGCCTGGATATTTTTCCAAGCTTCTTCAGGGTGAGCACAGCTGTCGAACACAGATATGTGTTTAGCTAGTTCTTCCTCAAATACGGATTTAGTTTCCTGATCGAGCTGGGGACGTGATGGTTTTACCGCCAGCTGTTTCCTACGTCCGTTCAGTCGTAAGCACACCCGAGCGCGGACCAGTGCATGGTCGGTATCTACGCACGTGTTCCAGAAGGAGCGACAATCTCCTACCGACCCACGCCAACGATAGCTTATTGCTATGTGGTCTATTTGTGTCCAGCGTTGGTTTGATGAAGGGGGTCTCCAAGTCAAACAGTGTCTCTCCTTGTGTTTGAAGTTAGTGCTTACAAGAAACAAATGATTATCAGAGCAGAACTGTAGGAGACGGTCACCGTTGTCGGTTCGCTGGCACGGAACTCCATAGGTGCCACCGACATCCTTCTCAGATTGACACAATTTCCCTACTTGAGCGTTAAAGTCACCAGCTAGAACGACTATGTCTGAGCGTTTAGCCTTTCCACCAAACTAGACAGCTTTTGGTAGAACTCATCCTTCGTTTCATCTGAACTGCAGTCAGTGGGGGCGTAGGCGGAGATTACGAAAAGGCATCGGCGAGTAGTGCAGTCCTTCTCCTTCTTACTGATCCGTTCAGGCGGACAGCACACATTCGGCTATCTACCGGGATCCAGTCAAGCAATGTCTTTTCTGCCCTAGTACTCAAAGCTATCCCTACGCCAGCTAATCCTCGTGAACTAGCTGTGGCATCTCCTGACACCCTCAAGGTGAATTTTGCAGATTCAACCTGTTGGCCAGGTGGGGTTAGGTGAATAACCACACTTGGGTCTTGTATGCGTGTTTCTGAAACACAGCATACATCAATGGCTCGTGATGCCAGGGTCTTGGCTAGTGATGCTTGTTGTCCTATTTGGCAAAGTGTCCTAACATTAAGAGCTCCTATATGAAATTGGTGGCGCGGCTTTAAGAGGCTGTCGGTGGTGGTTTTTTGGCTTCCATCGTTTTTAGTGGACGCAGAGTGGAGAGGAAGTGGAGAGCTATCAAGTCGAGGAGTTGCATCAGTGGAAGGAAGGCAAGATGATAGAGATGAAGATGAAGACAAAGATGAGTGAGTAATAGAGAGGTTTCGTGTGCATTTCGGATTGTGAGGGCGATTGTTACTTCCCGGCTGCCCACACCGTGGAAGTTGGTTGCGTGACCGCAGAGCCCAGGGGACAACTGCTTGAGGCCGGTCACACGCGGCCTGTTTTTGTTTGTTCTTTTTGTTTGGTGTGTCTCAGTAGCAGATTTATCACTCCCGCCCTGTGACACGGCAGCAGGAAGCGCGGTCGTTGTTAATCCGGGCCACGGCCGATCCGGCATGAAATTTTGTAATTTTGTATTGGACATGATGTTGGATTGGGTAGCTGCTTTTTGTTTAACCGCTATCCAAACAACCTGCCTGGCATGGTAGAACCTCAAGAGACATAAGTCTCAGCCAGTATAGCTTGATTAGGTCATTGCGGTGTTCAAGCCCGACCACCACGTCAAGGTAACAGTTTTCTGTCGGGATAAAATGTAAGTAATGGTATTAATGACTGAATTTATAAGATAACTATAAGTATCACCATAAATCGCAAACAGGAAAACGTAAAAGAGCCAATTGTTTCGTTAATAACATGGTAAGTTATAGGTTTCACGCCTAACACTCTTTATCACCTAGAACTTGGTTGTGCGGGCATATAATCTTTCATAATGACTTCTAGTCCTACCTGATGAGATACAAGGGTAGAGTTGTGAATGGAAAAGGGTGCTGAGAGTCAGAAAATATGGATTTGGATCATTTCTCACATGAGTGCGGGTATCTGTTGACTACAACAGTGACGAACTGACTCTGTGGCATACCACTTGCCCTACCGACAACTCTTAATACCCTTCGTAATGACCTTGGTGGCCTGCTTAAATCTTGGGCTACCAATAACCTTAAACATTACCTTATTTTTAAATAGTCCTTTTTGAGTAGGCCGGAAAAGACTAAGTGGTGGGGTGGGGTGGGGGGATAAAGAAAAACAGTTAACAGATTGTAAAAGTATGGTTTGAGTGATTTCTGATTATCTTAACTTCTTAGTGTAGAAGGTTCAACAGGAACATTTTCTTAGAAATAGACAAGATATGGGATGATCAAGAAAGGTCCGAGGATAGAACTACTCCAAGGTATTTTGTGCTTGACTTAGTTTCTATTTCAATACCCTCTATGGAACAAACATCTTGTGAATTAACAAGATCGCGTAGATCACGTTTATGCCTGAAGGTGAAGTCAACTGACTGAAATTTTGAGGGATTTAGCGTGAAACGATTTAAATTGGACCATTGGCTAATGTCTGACAAAAGGCTATTAAGTTTGGAACAGTCATGTGGGGATATAAACGTCAAAGAAGAATCTTATGTAAGTAGAAAGAAAAAAGAAGAGAAGAAAGAACAGCACCTTGAAGGATATCAGCTTCCGTAAACAATTCAGAGGAAGATTTGCCTTTATATACAACATACTGCATTCTGTTAGAGAAATAATAATTCTCAAGTATTGGTTTTGTAGAGATTTTGTTTGATTGCATGGAGGATTTAATCATGAGCTGACATCAGTTAGAGAACCATTGGAAAACCACCTAGGAGTACTGGAGAGCTGTTTCGTCCTATTTTGGGACTCTTCAGCAGTACGCACCCACCGGGATTCGAACCCAGGACCTTCTAGTTACAAGGCGAGCTCGTAGACCATTGAGCCACTGGGACCCGAAGTTAGAATTCAAGGACCATTGGATCGGGTCCCAGTGGCTCAATGGTCTACGAGCTCGCCTTGTAACCAGAAGGTCCTGGGTTCGAGTCCCGGTGGGTGCGTACTGATGAAGAGTCCCAAACTAGGACGAAACAGCTGTGCAGTACTCCCAGGTTTTCCAGTGGTTCTCTAACTGATGTCAGCTCATGATTAAATCTTCCACGAAATAATAATTCAACCGGTTAACAGCCCAGGACTTAGTTTGTGTCAAGGAAAGATTATTTAACAAAGACATCTGGGTACAGAGTGGAAAGCAAATGTGTAGTTAAGGAAGGTATATTGAATATATTTAACCTTCTTTGTCTAAATACAAAACAATACTATGATGTGAGACAGTAGCAGCATCTAAAGCGCTGCAGAATTAAGCTGCTGACTATTTTGCATTCGCCTTGAGGAAATCACAATGGTAGGTGTTCGTAAGCTCGTCTAGACGATATCCTAGTGGTACAGCCTATGTACATAACTCAACAGGAGAAAGTGAACTGGCAAATACACATTGTAGCTGCCAACAGTGACATCTTATCTTTGGCGTTCTGGTGAACAATAGCTTGTGTAGAGAAGGTAAGGCGTAGAGATGCAGCAAAGTGCATCCTTGGAATTTCCCATGACAGATGACTTTGCAGAACTTCACTAGTTGTGTCTTCCTTTAGTTTTAGTTTTACAATTAATTGTTTCTTCGGTGCATACAGGTTTCTGTGAGCATCGATCTTTCTCTTTAAATGTTTACTGATAAAGGAGGTCAGATATGCATTCTTGATGAAAGTGTTGTTTCTGAAGAATGCCACTTCTAATTATTCTCTCTTCATTTACGTCTTCATCCATTGCAGTTTGAATACATTTCTTCATTCTGTTAACACGTGTCCATCCGTAGTAATAACAACCTGAACTGCTGTACTTTTGTAGAAAGTTTTACGTTGATAAGTCAACCAGTTAAAAAGATTCAGTTGACTAGAAACTGTGGAACAATTTCTCGTAATTACTTTCCAAGTTGTTTTGTAACCTGGAGAGTAAAATCACATTCTTTTTGGAAGTGCTTAGTTTGTGTGTGTATAATTTTCATCTTTTCCAATTTTTTTTTATTCGTCTTTCTTACCTCTACTAGCTGTTTGGTTTGTTGATGTGACCTGTTTTCTGTTCTTCAATCTATTCGCTATGCTCGGTTGTGTTCTATGCAACTGGATCCAATTTGTAAGTTAACTATTGTATACATTAAATTTTTAGAAAACAGTTTTATTATTATATTAAATTTATCTATCAATGATTCAGTGATCTCAGTATTAGATCAGGCTATGTGAACGAAACATTCTATCTAGTAAAATCCACTTCGTTTATCAAATACTCTTCAAATGATTTTAACCTAGAAGTCAAAACTACCTTCAGATTAATCACTGTTACAAAAACTGATCAAGTTATTTTGTAACAACAGAAGACAAGGGCCAGGCAACAGATCGTTTTATTATGAAAATCAACACGTATTTATACATATTTCAACTACATTATTATAGACAAGCGCAGTCATCGGATTGGTTGTTTATCGCAGGCTTCTGATTGGTTGTTTCGGGATTCCTTGACAAATAGAGTTCTCTATCTGCGAATCATATTTTGCCACGTTAACTTTGCTGTGATTGGTTGTTGACTCGGCCTTGTTCATATTTTCTCACGGCCCATATTAGTGACCTAGACCTTAACGTAGATTAGTGCCAACCAATCGGCTAGCAGACTGCTCTCACCACAATTTCAAAAAACAAACTAAGAACCTTTCATTCAACAATTATGCATTCGCTATACACTGAGAAGACCGTTGTGGGACATTACCCACATCACTAGAGCCTCCAGTGGAAATCGAATAGTAAACGACGAGTGTTTAGTATGAGTCTGGGGTCGATGTGGAGGAGATCGTGTGAGAAAAAAAAATAAAGCTTTATGGGTAAGGAGATTTTTGCTAAGTGATCGAAGGCAATCGTCAGGAAGCTTTGTTCGACCCAGGTTTTGGTGCTTGTCAGCACTCGCTAACAAGGCGTACCTGCAACCTTGAAGGAACGCGTGTCCCCTCTGAGATGACGCATGACTTTAGTTATTAACTAGTGTCCGATGAAAGTTTAAAAAAATTTTCCTTAAAAAGATTGTAGAGAATGGATGGGGATGTACTGCTGAAGTGCTGAGTTTCACCCGGAACCCAAAGGGATAATAATAATAATAGTGGTAGTAATAATAATAATCAAGTTATTTCCTCATGAAAGACATGGGATTCACCTTTCCAAACAATAAATTATAATAGTTGGTATTTTTTGAAATTCCAATGCATACATCACGTTACTTGATCGGCAGTCACGTGGAGTATGTTAGAAATGGTATCCTTTAAAATATTATGGTATGTGCGAACTTAGTCATTAAACGTGTATTTCTAATTAGTTATTCAAAGGCTTTACAGAATTCTGTTATTTTTTGTGGGATAGTCTAGTTGTATCTTTCTTCTAGTCTTAGGCTCACTGATTTCCCATTAAAGTAAGTAACCCACTAAGAAGGTTATATTAAACATATCTTACTTCTGTAGAAGACCAATTGAGTTTCAGAAGCCTTTGACTAGTTCCCAGATGAAATAAATTATCTTGTTGTACATTTCATCTGTTAGTTTCTGCTTTTAAAATTGAAATTAAACCTAAACCCATAAGTTATGTACCGTTTAAGTTATATGTAGCTCAGACAAGTTCCATGAACCAGGTAAAGTAAAGCGAGTAAGGCAACTTGAGTAATTTTTTCTTCATTCCTTTACGTTCCCAGTAGAAGATAGAGCTTCAGACTTTAGCTTTGAAGTTTCAGTAGCAGTGGTGTTTTACGGGGTGGGGTGTGACTAGCCTCATGCCAAACCTTCCCTCCTTGTTTAACTAAAGCATGCAAAGGAGTGTGCCGGCCTGGACTTGAACCCCGGACCACGTGCATGGCTGGCCAGTGCCCTCCCACTGAACCACCGACGCACTGGTGTCCAACATGGGGCCCGAATTCACGATCGTGAGATTAAGAGTCGCACGCTCTACTGACTGAGCTAACCGGGCTAGCTTGAGTCATGGATTTGTAAAATATATTCATTCATATTCAAAAAAGTTTCGGTTATCATCTACGCTATTCAGTTTCGGCTAAGAAATCATATGCATAGAGCTTTTCATGAAGGTCCTGGTTCTGTACAGTGAAGTGTTTCGTGCTAACGCCTGTAACTTTGTCAAATTGCTTTAGAAAGTTAGCCTCATCTTTCATTAGCTTACAAAGGATGTTGATTATCCATAGGAAATATTTTGTTACAAGTAAACTCTAATATAGTCAACAGTACAATTTCACTTTCAAGCTATAGGAGGAATATTCGTCGGTGGCACAGCCGTTAGGACTCCCGCCGACCATGTACACAGTCCGGGGTTCGATCCCCTGTCGACGCACACCTAATATTAATTTGTCGGCCTGCAAAATTTGGGCTACCTATATCACATGCTGAAAATTGCATACTTGTACCAAAAATACAGTGTAGAAGTAAGCTATGATCGAAAAATCCCTTCACCAATGGCTTAGCAATTTTTTGGTTTTAATTTTTTCTTTTGACAAAACTATAAAAAGGTGTAATTTATCTGAGTCGTGTAGTGTATTTGGTGCATCACATTTCGAACCATTTGATGACCACAAACGTACTTGTCATAGAAATACATGTATGAGAATACTAATGCATTAGGGGGTGAGACAATAGACATAGGTCAAATTAGAGGGCTATATTCAAGGTCAAAATAATGACGATGGAGGTCAATATAGCAAAGAAGCAGAGAGATAACAGTACATCTGTCCTGGTATCAAAACAAAGTTTACCCGAGGAAGGTTAAATATCATGACAAATTGTTTTTGAACACATATTCGTGGTTTAAACCTCCTAATTTCTAGGTCTTCCACAAACTTTAGGATACACCTCAAACACGTTGTATGGATGGGTTTACAAAAGGTATAAACATTAATTTTATGCCCCATCTCTATAGTATGTTTTGGGCCAAGTTAAACTTTAAGCACCAGTTCATACCAGTGGAGTGCGACCGCACCAGTGACCCTGAAACACTCACTGAGCAAGTTGGTGAGACCTGGCAAATAATATTGTAATCATCAATAAAATATGCTTAATGAAGTGTTTATGACATTAAATGGGATATCTGGTAAGTTTCAGGTTAGGTTTGGAAAATATTAAGGTTAAGATTAGGTTAGCCTTATAAGGGAGATTTTAGGGTTGGTTCGAGGCAGTGTTAGGGTTAGTTTAGGGATATTTTAACGTTAGGCTTAGGTTCAAGAAAGATCAGGGTTATTTTTAGGGCTAGAAATCTGGATAAATACTTGTATAGGATGTGATTATATTACTTTGTTAACAGAGCAATCGAAAACTCAGAGGAGTTATTGTCAAACATCATAGAAAGATATCCTGTGTTGTAATCGGATATTCTTCATAAATATATGTATTTTATACGCATCATTTGGTTGGTGCGTTCAAGGGCACTTGTTCATTGATGCTAACTGGTGCTTAAAGTTTACCTTTACCATGTTTCTCATTAGGAGAGGAGAGCTAGGTCGTCTGTTTTCACTATTAAGGAGTTCAGGAGATTCTATTTACCTCTGTTTATTAAGTTACTATTTAATGGGGACTTATCTAGTGAGATTCTATTCCAAAGACTTTCAAGGAGCATACGTAGAACATTTTACGCAGCACACCTATGTTTGTCATTCTCTAGCCGACGAATGATTGGGACGCAAACAAAGGATAAGCTTGATAGTTTTGCCACATCTATGTGTATTTATCAATTCAACTGCACCTGCGGTGACAGTTATATTGGGCGTACTACTAGACAGCTTAGCCAACGTGTTAGTGAACATCTCCCATCGTGGTTTGGCAAAGGACAGACAAAAACAATCCGTAGCTCAATTCTGTCACATCTAATTGATAGTGGTCATGTGGTCGAGAAAACGAAAGCCTTCAAAGTAATTGATCGTATCCCACCGAATCTTTCTAATAGACTTCGTATTTGTCTACTGCACACAGCTGAGGCGATTGGCATTCGAACTATTAAACCTAAACTATGCATTCAAAAGAAGTTCGTGCAGCCATTATCCCTCCCGTTGCCTAATAAGACATAACCAACTAAACACTTCTACACCACTCCTTATTTATATTTCCAACCCCTTTCTTATCATCCCTTAATCTTATCTTATATTCATTATAAACGTGTTTCATTTCCCTCCCCTACAATCTAACATTACGTAATCGGTTCATTTGTTTTTACTACCCTTTATCGACTACTTCCACATGAACAATTTAAAACAAGCAATAAAGGTTAATAAAGCAGGATTTAATGAATTCATCAAATTTCGGTAGAACTCGTCAGCTGAATACTCTACATACACGAATATATATACTTTTGAAATTACATAGGGAGATATAAGACTGATAAGTAAACAAACTACATTGAATTAATCATGCAGAGAGACAGGTGCGAATATTTTCCAGGTCATGTTCAAATAGATAAGGGGAGAGAGAGAGTATGAGAGATCAAAATTAAGATAAATTGCATTACGCTTCAATTACATCACTTAGATAAACAATTAGTCATTAGGGAATATAACGAGAATTGCAAACAGACTAATATCAATAGTAATAGTTTTAATAACAATAATAATAATAGTGTTGAAGTGAGTTAAGATAATCTTACGGATAAAGCATAGATTTAAATGAATCAAGAATAATAATAATAATGGTAGTAATAATAACAAAAATAATAATAAGAAGGGGTAGAATAATAGTAATAACAAGTAGAGAATAATAAGTAAAGCGTATTACCATGGTAGATTCAGAGTGACGACCATCTCCTTTTGTATACAGAGGGCTGGTTTGTAAATTCGAATTGCACAAGCCTCTGCAATTGCAAGCATCTTCTTGTTTCTTTGTTTGCTGACGATGGTGAATGACTTGACGGCGTCGATATCATGTCCGTAATCCACGAGATGTTTTGTTATTGAGGATTTTGGGACTTTGCACTCAGCTGTTTTCAACCATTTTGGCAAATGCTCCATCATGCGAGTAGACAATCGCCTTTCCGTACGACCTATGTATTTGCTGCCACAAACACACTCAAATTGATATATGCAGTTTGAAGTGTCGAGGATTGGCGACTGGT